TCCCCCCAATTTTTCAAAAAAGAATGGAGGAGTTTCCCCTTTTGAAAAAAATAAAAAATTAACTTTAATTAGGGGGCCAAATCCACCGGAAATATTAAATTCAAGCCAATCTTAGATCGATTAGAATGCCAGGAATGGAATATTCTAAAATAAAATAAAAAGTGCGGTCAGTTTTTGGAACAATCGGTTATTTTAAAACCCGAATTCAGGAATTAGTAGAACTCCCCAATTAAAAATTTTACCCTATATATAGATATGATATGATATGGATAGGATATGGTAGGATATGATATGGTATGGTATGGTATCAGTAATGAATTTCTTAATCAATTAAAATAAAGAAAGAATGAATATTTTCCAAATCCGAGGAAGAAATGAAGGAATTAAAATACAGACACTAAGATTTTGACGATAGATGAATCCTTGAACGAGCTCTTAATTCAATTAGACAACCTATTAAACCATCAAAACAAAAAGCTAATAGATCAAATATTCAATAATTACATGTTCTTTATATTCGAAATCGATAATTTTTCATTATAAAACGTTTCGAAATTTTGATATTCGATATTTTGGGCTTAGTTTTCGGATGTAAGACGGGGGGAAAAGTAGAAAAACAAAGGGAGGGGATTGTGTGTTTCGTGCCATAATGATGTGCTTTTTTGTTGTTTCTGTGATTGTTATGTATGTATGTATAGGCAAATATTTGTATGGGAGTTAGTCATGTGATTTGGGGTGTTTTGAACAATGAGGTTATCGGTTATGGGTAGATATGCAGTTCAATACCTGGAACTGTACGCTTCTTCATTATAGTTTCTCTATCACTATCTTGCTCTTCATTGCCATCCTTATTCTCATCTTTATCTTTATCTTTAGCCTCATCTTCATCTTCAACTTCAACCTCATCAAGCACAGGAATGCTTTTTGTGAATATATCTACTTTTCTATTTTTATTCTCTTGGAAATGACAACCCAGTGATAACGTCTTTTCAATTGCTTTACCCATTCCCAATACTTTCACGTACGTTGCTCCATGTTTATCTAGAGTCTCCAGACATTTGGTGATTCTCTTCAATGCACTGACATATGGAGTTATGCTTTTCACATAGATCGTCGTCTTGATCTCCTTATGTGCCATCGTCTTAATACTAGGACATTTCCTTATCAATCTGTACCCTTTTTCTTGCATTCTGTATATAAATAATGTACCCTTGTGTGTGTGCGCTGTATGTATTGATCTCTCTCTCTCTGTGTCTCCCAACTCCTATAGATATGGCTTTAAATCTCTGTAAATTGAGAGCAATCTCTTTGTGGATATATTCACACAGGATATAACTGGATCCGATTCACACCAACACTTTTTAAATCAATACATCGACTACTTTTATCATCTTTGTCTTGATTTAACTCGTTCAAATTTCACTAGATTTTTCGTTACAAATTTCACATTTCCGGTCATCGATCTTTCTGTCCGAATATACCATGGTTTCTTACTACCACACAATCCGGACACTTTCTACCCCTTCACCTTTCCCCGTCATCCCTTTTGATTCATACTAATTCCAAATATCAACTTGGATGGATACATAAAAGAAATAATGATTCTTCGAGATATAACTAAGGGTGATCATATTTGACAAGAACTAAGTGTCAGTTCTTGATCTAGTTGGGTAGACTCATCGATTTTGTTTGTGTGTTCTCCTTCTTATACCCCTCCACCAGGGATTTATACAAGGGTTTTTGCAAAAAGAAGGAAGATGAGTATGATCAGGAATTTTAAATATGATAGATCAATACAGAAATTAGGTCAATTGTGCAACAGGAGGTCCTTTAGTGTTTCTTTTGGTAGATTCATGATCTTTGAAGGTAATTCTAGTGAGATTCAAGGGACTGCTGAAGAAAGAATGACGAAAGTTTTTGGTGGGAGATTAAAAGGTGAAGCTCCGGTTTCTACAAGTAGGATGTTAACTGGAGGTTATAAGGTTATTGCTGGTATCAAAGTTCCTTCAAAACCGGTGGCTCCTGATAACTGTTGCATGTCCGGTTGTGTAAATTGTGTTTGGGAACTTTACAATGATGACGTAAGGTTTTGGAGAGGTAAAAGGAAAGAAGCTGTTAAAAAAATTACAGGAACAAATGAAATTTGGCCTACTAATTGGGACCCTCCTTTGGCTTTGCTTGAAATGCGTAATCTTCCAGAACTTCTGAGAAAGGAAAAGTCGAGCCAACTGCAAGATTCGTTGAAATCTAATGTGAACACAGAGTCGCTGTTTCCTAAGAGACAATCTCCACTGCCTGCCAGTGTTTTGGCGGCAAAGAAAAGACATCAGTTGGAAAGGTTGCATAGCAAAGAAAAAAAATTATACCTAGAGCAAGATGATGGCTGGAATGATATTCCTGTTTATATAAAAGTCTTCTCGGAGTTTGAAAGGCAAAACAAATTAAAAAAGCAGAAGAAAAAACTGGAGAACTTAAAACAAGAAATTACCATGTAAATATTTCATGTCATTGATCCATTGATTGGAACATTAAATGTAAAATTAACAAAATAACTTAATATTTATTATCCATTTGCATGTATATATATATTCCATATTCGCAATCCTTTAAAAATTTTGTAGAATACAATTCTACTTGAATTTAAAATTGGCATAGAACTCTAAAAAGTAAACAGGTAGAATTATTTACTGAATGATATATTTTTGATATATAACTTTTATCTAGTACAACAATAATCAATTTGCTACATTGCGTTACGACATTTCTACGTCAGCATCGTCACCGGCATCTTCTGATGACTGATTCTGCTTAGCTTTTGCAAGTTTCCTTTTCTTCTCTTCATCTTCAAGATATCTAGTCTTGATTATATTTCCCATAGAGGCTAATTCTTCATATTTAGAAACGTATTCACTTTTAGTTGTATCGTACCCTTCATCATATAGCCAATCTTCAGATTTGGTAAGCATGTCATTAAGTTTAGCCTTCTCATTACTAGATGCAAATGGAGCATAGTCTCCTTCTAATTTCGAACGTAAGGAATAGATGTATTCTTCTAATTCATTCTTACGTTCAATTGTTTCTGCGATTAACTTATCCTGAGCTATCAATTCATTTTCTAATTCAATATATTCATTTAGTTTACTGGTAGGTAGACCAAAAGTACGAGCTTTAATCGATAATTTATCCTTCTTAACTGTCTTGATAACTTCTTTAAACTCTTGTTCTGCATCTTCTGGTGCATCTTCTGGTAAAGGAATTGGCTCTTCGACAGTGACATCTTCTAAAGTATGCGCTTCTTCAATAGTATGGAACCCCGATGGATCACATCTCAATTTTATCTTTACTGGGACTAACTCAGCACCCTTTGGTAGTTTAACACCCTTAAGTTCCCATTTAGCAATCGTTGATTGACCACTGGTAGGTACACTTCCCTTATTGGTGTATTTTGCCTTCATATGGAAATTCCCTGTACGATGTAATGTAATCATCTTAGTGGATGGATAATAAGAATTAGCTGGGAAAACTTCTAAATGGTCTTCATCTTCACCTTGTTTATCCCAGTAGTAAGAAACAGAAACTGGATGGATATCTTCAAATTTGAATGGTCTTACCCTTAAAATTGGAGAATGTATAGCACAAATAAATGCAGCACCTTTTGCGACAGCTTCATCTTGATTTAACGTAGTGGATAATTGTTTATCAAATGCCTTTGAAATAGAGTCTTTTATAGCTGGAATACGAGTCGTACCACCGATCATCTCTACAAAGTCAATGTCATCAAGGGTTAGCTTTGCTTGATTCAGTGCCCTAGTAATTGGGCTATTGATACGGTTTAATAAAGGTTGTGCTAATTCTTCCAATTCTTCTCTTGTCATTTGGGAAGAGACATCGATATCATTCATAACAGATTCGACATTAAACACAGCTGTTGTATTTGCGGACAAGACTTTTTTCAATTTTTCTGCCGCTGTTAAAACTCTATTATAAGCCTTTGGATTTGATCTAATATCAATCTCATATTTGTCCTTAAACTCATCTGCAAAATGTTCAGTAATTGCATGGTCAAAGTCTCTGCCACCAAAATGTTTATCAAATGCAGTACCAACTATTCTACATTCACCATTTTTAAATTTAGCGATAGAACAAGTATATGTAGAATGGCCAATATCAATGAATGCTACAACTCTTGGAGGTTCTTCAGCCTCAGGAAGATCGGTTTTAAAGACACCATATGAGACAGCAGCAGCAGTGGTATCAGTAACAATTCTAACAGGGTTCAAATTAGCAATTTTAGCAGCATCTGCCATTGCATAACGTTGTTCTTCATTGTACCAAGAAGGTACTGATATACAAATATCAGTGATTTCTGATTTAGTTTCATCTTCGACTATTTGTTTCGATTTCCCAATGAACATAGCAGCAATTTGAGTAGCTGTAAAAACCTTTTCATCACCATTTAAATTAACCTTAACACCAACTTTCCCATCCTTTAGCTTAACCAAACTTGAATTAAAAAACTTTGATTCAATTGCAAAATCTGGATCATCGTAATTCATTCCAATGATCCTTTTCAAATTGTCAACAGTATTCTTAATATTTGAAGTCTGTTTTGTCTTACCAGACTCTCCTAAGTATCTATTCCTCTCACCAAATCCCACAATTGTAGGAGTTGAACGATTAGAAACCTCATTGACAACAACATCAATGCCCCTATTCCTAGCAACTGCTAGAACAGAACTACTATTACCAAAATCTAAACCGTAAGGTGTACTCATTCTGATCAATCAATCAATTATTTCTTACAAACCAATATCTTTTCTAAAATATCTATCCAAAATTACAGGCACAGTAAGATATCTTAGTCACTTGCTGTCATACCCACTTTAGCCCTTAAAATACCAAATTTGAACTAAGATATAAACCAATTTGCTTTTATATATAGCATTCTGCCATCACTTGATATGTCAACTACTACGACCTCCTTTACAATATCAATTCCAATCCAAACATCAACATCAACATCATCTAGCCAACCCCCCTTGGTGTTCATCAGTTGGATGATATCATATCTCTCCTCAACTCGAATAACCCTCGCAGTCTTTCAAAAACAGAGAAACCTAACTCGTAAATGAGGTTTAGTTCGTTTCGAATTAACAACTTTCATTGAATTTAAGAGGGTTAATAAACTCTAGAGGTTATTTCGATTCGAAAGTTCTCGAACTTACTAGATCCTTTTATTGATTTGAAGTGTATTTGTATTTCTTATAGAATTAAGCCTTTCTTAATTATTATACTATGTGTGTACTATATAATATGATATGATATGTTTTTTGATATGATATAATATAAAGATATTATGGAAAAAAGTTGAAAGTAGAGAGTAGTGGTGATGGTGATGGTGATGGTATTGTCATTATATCATTTCCATGATTAGCACTAGACTGTTAAATGACTCGGTAGTTGTTAATTGGATTAAAGGCTGTTCCCAGTTTTCTGAAATTGCTGAAGTTATTAGTAATGACCAATCCTTTTCATTGAATATTTCTAATGACTTGATGTATAATAGGAGATGGAAGTTCGAAATTTTTTCATGTAATAGATTATAATCACCTCCAGTTGCTGCACTGTATAGATAGTTTTTCAATTCTTGGTAATCTTGTGATAATCCCATTGCTTGTCTGTTTGCCCAAGGGAATCCACCAGTTGAATGGAATTTTATTTGATTCTTGGAGTCTTCTGTAATGAAACCGTGTGTCAATGATACTAATAGATAGTCGACTGGGAATGCAGGTTTGGCATTTTCTTTCACTGTTAGTCCATATTCATTAGTCTTCATGTAGAAAATTTCAGGAACGTATACTTCTTCGTTAGTTTCGTTAATGTAAGCCATTGATGGATGTGTTGAGCCACTGATCATTTTAGCGTCAACTAATGCTTCAGCTTCAATGGAGACTTGGTAACTTGTTATATCAATTTCACTATCAAGGTTACCAGAAACTACACAGGTGACAAACTTTGATGAAAATTTACCTTGTTCACTAAATCTACTTGCATTTGGAAATGCCAATTGATGTTTAGCGGCCATGATTATCTCTAAAGATGATAAAAAGAAAGAATCTTTATGTCTCTTGCAGAAAACTGTACCATTACCATTACCAGTATCAGTCAAATCAGAAAATATTAAACCAACCCTTAATAACCCCATGCTCATTGCTATTTGATCTACTTTTTGCATTTCCTCCTCTACTTGCTCTAAATCCATTGTCAACCCATCTTGTTCGTCATGTTGAGGTGGTTCATAGATTGCATGCACTACAGCTTTCACACCCAATGGTGTAGAATCGTATTTCTCGTAACTACCATATAAATAACCAAATCTTTGCATACCTGTTGCCCTCCAAGATTCGATAAATTGATTGATCAAATCACTCTGTTGGATCTCAACATGATCGACCATCCTGAACTCCTGTTGTTGAAGAGTTATCGCAGATGGCTGACACTTAGAACAAATACCTCGAGGCCAAGGTTCATGTCCATTGTTACAACGCTTGTTGATTTTATAATCTGGTTGTGATAAAGGTGGAATATACGAACTACCACTAGATTTCTTGTTCGTTGCTTCATTTAGTTTCTTCAAATAAGAATGGAAAGAGATATGTTTCAACTTGTTTTCCGCATGATATTCTTTATCCCATGGGGGCAATGGTGAACAATATTCACACATCCCCTTGTCACCATGCTTACAAAGAGAAGATCTAGTTCTCTTGATCAACCCATCTTCTTTCTCCAACAATACATCAACAGGCAATTCACTGATAACAGCTGATCCAGCACCCACAGCATTTACAGGAACACTCTGGCCTTCATTAGAACCACTTGAATCAGAATATTCAATGTAAACGATATCACCATGTTTCAACCCCATTTCTTCCACAGATCTACCAGCAATATTAGAAACCGGTTCCTTAGCACTCCCTGGGTCATTACCGACAACAACGGTCCCTGGATCAACATTTAACCCAACCTCTTTCACCCAGTTCTCAACAACATCACCAAATAGATCAGTAGCCTCGCAGGATACCCTATTCATCCCAATTTTTGACCTAAACCTTAACAACATTTCTCAAAAATTTAACAATTCCCTTCTCACTCCCCATAAAACAAAACTAACCCAATAGGAAATACAAATATAATATTTCAATTTAAGCAATTCCAATGAATCAATTGTCTCTCTCTTGTCCTAAAGCATAAACCAGAATTCATTCATTCATCTCATCTTTTTATTATATACAATTACCAAATAATTCTTGATATTTTAAAGCCTTTAAAATATTTAAAATTAAAGAAACAGACAGGTATTGAAAAAAATTAGTTACAACTTTAGAAGCAAAAAAGAGATTGAATTCGGTAGAGTTAAGGGCTATAGAAGGATAGAGTATATTCTTTATTATCTAATCAGTTGGTTGTTTAAGAGGTTGTGTTTATTTGGAATCTTTACCTTCTTTTTGAATTAATTTTGAATAATTTTTGTTTTTCAGTTCATTCAATCTAGTTAGAGATGTCTCAATCTGAAGGAAGTTCATTTTATACAACCGTTGACGTTGAAACTAAACTTGTTTCTGTTTATACACCATTGATTTATGGATCTTTGTTGATTTTGTCATTGATTATATTTGGTTCTCAGTATAGAAAGAAACAGATCAAGGAATTGAGTGAGCTTAAGTCTATTTTTGATGAGAATGAAGCAAGAGATTTATATTATGAATTGAAGTCGAAACGTGAGGAAGATAATATACATGAGAAGGTTATTAAGGCAGCTTTGTTGAATAGAGGTGCTGAGGCTGTGAGACGTTCTATCAAGTTGAAGGAGTTGTCTACTCAAATTGAAATTATCTATAAAAACGGTGGAATTGGTGATGATTATTGGAAACGTTTCCAAAATGAAGTGAAGTTAGTGGATTTGGAGTTCAAGGAAACTTTACAAGAGGCAGAGATGTTGCAGCCAGGTTGGGTTCAACTGTTTGTGGCGTTGTCAAAGGAAATCTGTTTTAACCAAGCTCTTTCCAGACGTTACGACTCGATCGCTAGACGTACTGAAACCTGCATTAAAGAATGGAACTTGAAATTAGATGATAATGGAAGATTGATAGAGTAATGTTATCATCTATACATCTGACTAAAGTGTTGAGTTGTTAAATCAAATAAAATTAATTTCTAATCTATCAAGGGTCCTCCTATTTTGTATAGTATACAGGTATATATAAGTACAAATGATATATCTTTTCTGTAACGAGTGCTCTCTTGGAAGGTGTTTTTATTTAGATATACTATTAGTAATGAGAAATGGGCACTATCATATGCTAGATACACTCGTCATCGAGAGGAATATCACCTCTCTTTAGATACTGGTATCTCATGTTAGACCATTGTCTCTTGATTCCATTGTTACATGCTGCATCGATATAAAAAATTAGTTGAAGTTTCAGATCTATATAAAGCAACTTATCAAGTATCTGTAGTAGGTATGGATATAAACAGGAACAAGTCAAACGCTAGCTTCTATGTATCATTGGATATAAGTGTCAGTTTAGTTTCGTAATGTTATCGTATGTTTTTAGGAACCCTTCAAGGTGTCTTATTGATAAAGTCATCCCTTTAAGAGCACTCAATCGCTATTCTACTCATGTGTTAGATGCTGCTAAGAGGAAAAGTATTCTAGACCTTAATAAGAAGTATTTGGCTTGTGAACCTCTATCTATGTGCACTGCTTATGATTATATAACTGCAAGTTGGGCTCAAAAATCTAACTGTGATATGATTCTTATTGGTGATTCATTGGCGATGACTTCACTAGGGTATAAATCAACTACAGATCTTCCATTCGATGAGTTTAAGTACCATGTCAAATCTGTATGCAGAGCTGAAGGTTCATCATTAGTGGTTGCTGATATGCCATTTGGTAGTTACGAGACTAGTCATGAAGTTGCCATTTCGAATGCACTACAATTATTAAAGCTTGACAGTAATGTAGCTTCTCTTAAGATAGAAGTTGGTATGCATACTAAGGATAAGTATACCATAAATCTGGTAAAAGAGATGTGCTCGAGAGGGATACCCATTATGGGTCATATTGGATTGACTCCTCAGAGGTCCCATTCGTTAGGAGGGTTTAGAGTTCAAGGTAATAAATCATATAAAGAAATCAAAGAACTGTTAGAAACGGCTCTAGTCTTACAAGATGCAGGTTGTTGGGCACTTGTGCTTGAGTGTATTCCTCAAAAGGTTGCTGGATATATAACATCTAAGTTAAATATACCAACAATCGGTATAGGTGCAGGGACTCAAACTAGTGGACAAGTTCTGGTCATGTCTGATATGTTAGGAATGTTGCCAGGAGGAGTTCCCAAATTTGTTAAACAGTATTCTAGTATACACAGAGTTGCCTCAGATTCTATTTCAAAATATATCGATGAAGTAGAAAGTGGGAAATTCCCATCAAATGATACCCATACTTTTAAGATAAAGAACGAGATATGGGAAGAATTTATAAATCATGAACAAAGTTAAAAGAATAATAATTGATGACAATTGACAATATAAATATATATTAATAAGATACTTTTCATGTAAATATTTTTAGTATTATGTACAAGTTATTTTATGTGCTCAGTTTTACCTAATTCAGGACAATGACAGTTATCCTTTATGCCTTTCCACTCTGCCAGCAGTTCCAAACGTTCTTTTGGTTCTCTAAAGTATTCTCCACTAAGAACAAAGGTTCCCCAATGGACACCCAAAACATGTTTTGCCTCGAGATCCTCCATGATTTTTATGACTTCACTTGGATCAATGTGTCTTGGCTTTTGGTGCCATTCAGGGCAATACTGACCACATGGTAATATTGCTAATCTACAACCGCTTCCAAATTTTCTCTTTATTCTGGAATAAAGGTCACTCACATATCCTGTGTCACCAGCATGGAAAAGAATTGGTTCATTGTTATGGCTCAATAAAAATGAACACCAAAGCGAGTGGTTTATATCTGTCAGTCCTCGTCCTGACCAGTGCATTGCCGGTGTACATGATATATGATAAATTTCGTTACCTTTTTCTAACTCACAAGTTTCCCACCAAGATAATTCAATAAAATTGGAAACATCAAACCTTTTTAAATAATGAGACATACCTTTTGGAACAATCCATAGGACATCTGTATTTCTCCATTTCTCAATACTAGCTGCATCTAAATGATCTGGATGATTATGTGAAACTACTATTACATCAGGTTCAGGAACTTCATCTATTTGACATGGCTGTTCTGTTATTCTTTTTGGTCCAAATGTTTCATCAACAAGGTAATCACTAAATAATGGATCCGTCAGTATCTTAAGTCCATTGTATAAGATATAATTACATGACTGTCCTAGCCATGTTGTATAGATTGGGATATTTTTATTTCCCTGAAATCCAATGTTACGGTTTTGCACCTCATTTCCCTCTAATATCTTAGAAACTACAACTTTATTTTCTGATTTTTCATAGACTAGTCTTATTCCTTTTTGCAACCAGTCAGGTTTATGTATTGGCATCAATTCATCCATATCTTCCTTATTATTGGGTATCCCACCTCTGTTCCTTTGGAATAATTCCACAATTCTGTTGAAAAAGAATTCTTGTACAGTTTGTATTCTATATTCATCGAATGGATTCTCGAATCGACCAAGAACTTTTAAAGGAGAATACTTCACCAGCGTCCCCTCATTTGACTCTTGACCTTCTTCCATAAAGTGTACAATATCTTGTCTCATAGCAATTTCCTCTGAAGATGCACCTATCACCCAAACAGCATAACCTGTATATGATAATACTGCAGCAATCCCTAAATTAGTTAAGAACCTCTTTGATCTTAAAAGAATTCTACCTTTAGGCTTAGGGTTCTTACTACTAAAATTCCTGATGACATTTGCTTTCAATACACCATTTATAACTAGTCTTCTAGATCCAGAGAATACACCATTATACAATGTCCACAATTTTCCAGTATACATTTCAATGTATCTCAATTGATTCCTTCAGCTGTTATCTATTCAATTCAATTGATTGCTCCAATTGCAGTACTTCAGGTACAATGCTTTTAAAAATCAATGCTCCTTTAAAGCTGTAATTAATTTGAAATATCAGGTCAATTCCTAATGGAAACGCCTACTAGAGACCCTACTGAACTCGATGGGTTCTTAAAGTCAAACACTAATATAAATATTACACTGTAATAACCTTTTAAGTCAACAATGCCTCGAATGAAAGTAACAATTTCTTACAGTGATTATTATTATTAGTATAAGGTGCTATAAATTTACCGAAAAGCCATTAGTAATGATGATAATGATCTGAAGAAACTGTGATGATATGAATAAACAGGATTGACTCCATCTATGAAAGCATAAGTTTCAATATTCAATCCATACAGTTTAGTTACTAATTAATTTCAATTCGAATCTCATTTACCATAAGGTAGCCCCCCTTGTAATGACCAGTTTCTAAAACTTTTCTAGTTGAAATAAAATCTAATATAACCTTGGAAGAAAACGTAATGAAAGTATATCAAAAGGATTGCATATCTTTTCAATGTGATTCAGAATATATTGCTACATCCCACTGATGTTAATTGATTGGCTATTGTACACCATTCTATAGTGTCATATTATCTTGTTAGATCGATGGGTTTAATATCAATAAATGAAGCCGGCATCTTTAAACTAAAGGATAGTTCTAACAATCAAATTAAGCTAAAATCCATAACTTAAATAAAACTAGCAGTTACTAATCCATCCCAGTTAGTCCAATATATACCAACAATTCATTTCAAGTAAACTTCTTTGTTCTTTCATCTATACTGCTTTTATACTTAAAGGATCCTTTCATTCTTATAAGGCATCCCATCCATCGATAAATTTAATAGAAGCCAAAATCCTATAAAAGGTTAATTCGATTTAGTTAACTTAACTGGTTGATTAAGTAGTAAAGACATCAAAGTAACAAGGTCTATTGGTGATTGGTTGGTTCAAGATGGGGTTGTCAAGGTTTAATCAAGATGCTACATGTTTTGTAACTAGTTCTGAGGGAAATTCTGTTACTATATATAACTGTGATCCATTTGGGAAGTGTTTTGAAATGGTTGATGAAGACACTCAGAATATAGGTGATGATGATGCTAGAGGTGATGATAATAGTGGTGGTGATGATGATCTTTTAGTTGAGATGTTATTTTCTACTAATTTGGTGGCTATTGTTCATAGAAAACAGGGGATTCTTAAATCTAAAAAATTAAAGATAGTTAATATTAAGAGGAAGACAATTATTTGTGAATTATCGTTTCCTCATCCAATTCAAGATGTTGTTATGAATCGTAAACGTGTCTGTGTATTGCTTAATAGTGATCAGATTCATATTTATGATATTTCATGTATGAAACACTTACACACAATTGATATTTGGGATAGTCAAGTTAAGAGCATTACAGGGCAGGGAGTAGATTCTCTTTCTAATTCAGGTACAAGCAATATGACAAGTTTGAGGGAAAGATCAAGTACATTTTCCAAGTCTATTAGTCCAAAAATATGTTTGAGTAATGATGACAGAAGCATTTTAGCTTTCAATTGTTATAGTACTTCTTCTAAATCAGTCATTCTTAATGACGTAGTTATTTTTGATGCTTTGAATATCTCTCCTCTTAATTATATCAACTCAGTTCACAAGGGTAATGTTGCTTCTCTGGCAATTAGTCCAGATGGTAAATTCATCGCTACCGCTTCAGAAAAGGGTACACTAGTGAGAATATTCAATACAGGCGCTGAAACAGAAAGTGAATTATTAACACCCTTATTATATGAATTTAGACGTGGCAATAGACCCTGTAATATCAATCAATTGACCTTTAACAGTGATTCTACTTTACTTGGGTGTGTAGGTGATTCTGACACTATTCACATTTTCAAATTAGATTCAACAAGCAGGTTATTATCCATGTCAGTAAATTCAGAGGACAATTCACACATAACAAGTGAGGATATTAAAGCATTAAGGAAAGATCCAAATTCAAAACAATTTACAAAATTAATATCAAAAACAATTAAAAAATCAATTCCAAGTCAAGCATTACGTCGTGATTTCGCTCATATAACTATCAAAAATACGAAGACTAAACACATACTAGGATTCCCAAAAGAATTCATGAACCAAGTATACGTTTTAAGTAACGATGGTTCCTTCTTTATCTATTCTTTACCATCAACTTCTGGGTCTTGTGTCTTATCCAAACAGAACGACTTTAAATAGATAAACTATATAAAATAATTATTGTATATTCACGTAAAATGACAGTATGTGATAGATGTTAATGTACATTTCTTCAATTATATAATTTCCACCAACCTCTGAATTGTAATTAATTATAATGATAGTTGATGTTTTTAAACCAAATACATTTGATCTCAAACACATCCCTTTATGTTTAGTTGTCCCAACATCAATTTTATTAATTATGATAAAGCAATCCATATTTAAAATTAAGAACAAATTATTAAACAGAAAACCCCAAATCATTGGACGTTTTGAAGCTGATAAAGCCAATATCTGGTCTCTTATAAAGAGAATTCCATATTTACGAGTTGATATTCGATTGTTGAAATAGATCCAGGGATTATTTTGCTATTTTATGGCCAATTTAATTAGGAATATACATATATTTTATGGTCTTACAATACATTGAAATTTGAATTAATTTATATATCTTTATTGATACAAGAATTCATCAGAAATAGAGAATTATATCAATGGTACTGTGTAGGATTATTGGAAAGAGATTTGTGAATACTGTTCATAAGAGATCTCTTTTGGCTGAATTAAAGGAAAGAGGATTGATTTCTCAAATATCACAACCTGAATCCTTATTAAATAAAGCTCTGCAAGATGGTAAAAGAGTAAAACTATATTGTGGAGCAGATCCCACTGCTAGATCTTTGCATTTGGGAAACTTAGTTCCATTAATGATA